CCTTGCCTTGGGGCTGGGAATCCACAAATGCCAGTCTGCTAACTCGAACAGAAAGTATCAGCAACCTACCAGTGCCTCCCTCCTTCCCTTCACTGACCACTTCCCCAGCATATATGTACTTAATTTTGTAATTCTGAAAGGGGTGCGTGTCGGTAAGGGACAAAGATATTGCTCTCCATCCAGCTTTGCATGGGCAACATCCCAGTTCTTGGGGTCATGTAGTTGTTGACGCGAAATACGTTAATACTTCTGAGAAACCCAAGCCCACCTCACAACAGCTTCAGCTCTTGTGTGCATTGTTCACAGTAGCATATAGAAAAGAAGAGATTGATTAAGCAGGAATGGTCTCAAGGTGTGAATGAGGAGTCTGACAGTGCTGTCCTTATCCGTTTTGTGACAGGTCTTCACGCTGTCAGGTTCTTGATACTGCTACTTTTGAGCAAAAGTAGCCAGTTGGATTAATGAGACCAAAATGAGTAGTTAGTTTACTCACACCAGGGTGGGGTTTTTTTGGGTTCGTGGTTTTTGTTTGGTTGGGGTTTTTTTTGTGGGTTTGTTTTGTTTTTTAAACTTCACCCCCTACACAAACAAAATCAGCGATTGAGAAATCACAGAGCAGAATTCATACCACAGGGTTAAGGCCTGTACCATGGAAACCAGCCAGTAACAGACTTATTTCAGTACCTCCCTGCGAAATATACTTTCCTTATTTTGAAACAAGAGAGGTTTTTATTAGATCCTCTCATTTGACTTGATGTTAATTGGTAGGGAGGAGGAAAGAGAGGGAGAGCCGACCTGAGGAGGCGACTGACAGGGCCAGCATGTGCGTGACTATTATTAGCTCTATTGCCCTGGTGACTGCCAGCGTTCTGCGTTGTGCGCTCAGTACAGAAAGGAATACAAATTTCACAAACACCGCTAGAGCAACTAACATTCAGAATGTAAAAAAAAGGGAAGGAAAAAAAAAAAAGACAACCCAAACCACGCATCATCATCCACAAAAAGACGTCAGTAAACCCTGATGCAACCTCCTCCCCCGCCCCCCCAGCAGCTTCCTGCCGGCAGAGCCAGCTAACAGTCCCCCATGTTACCGCTCCTGCCGCCTCCAGCCGCAGGGGACGGGAATGCAACGCGACGGAGGGGCAGAAAACTTACCTGGGGAATGGCAGGGGTCGGAGAGAAGGAACGGCGCCCTGTGCAGCCTCTCTCGCACGGCTCGTCCCTCAGCACGGAGATGCGGAGGTGTTAAACCACTCCCTGCAAGCAGCAACAGCTCTGTGCCAGCTCTGGCCCCTCCTCCCCTGCTGTCGCTGCTAGTGCCGCGGTCCCTCCTCCAAAGTCACAGCTTCGCTAGACCAGCAGCGAAAACCTCAGCCTGGAGCTTGGGAAGACCGAAAGGGCTTCCCGGGTGCCTTCCTACCTCTTGGCACCGCGAATAGGTCACCGCCGGGCAGGCGGCAGGACGGCGGGGGGGTGCGGGGGGCCCATTTCCGAGCTGTCAAACAGGTGTCAGGTTGGTTTGAGCAATGGAGCAGCCCTGAGCCCACGGCATCCAGGAGGACGAGAGATGAGAAGGAAGTAGGTTTGTGCGTCCCACGTAGCCAGCCCTCCACTTCCCACGTCGTTTCATTGTAACCTGTACCCATTAAAAAGGTTGCTTGCTACGCTGCCCTTCCCGTGGCTGTGGGAAGGGACACGGGGAAGCTACGCACAGTCCGCAGCCGGAGGTCAGGTGCAAAGAAAGGGAAAGGATCTCCGGATGATTCTGCTCTGGATGCGTGCAGAAGAATTGCATTAGGGCAGGCAGGAGAATTTAAAAAAAATTTGCATATTGGTGGCGTTCTCACCAAGGCATTTCTACTGCTTAAAGAAGAATCAAGTGTCCACCTCGTCTGTAAGCGCGCATAAGGGAATGAGGCAGAGCACCTCCCGCAACCCCGTTTTGCAAGCTACATTGGGTGCGTGTGAAAGCAGATTCAAATGCCACATGTTGCTACTTTGTTTCTAGTAGCAGTACACAGAATTAAGCTGACTACAAATCCTTGGGGAAAAAAGCACTGTTTTTTGGTAAGATTAAGTTTTCCAGAAGGACTCTGAATCAGGGAAGTCTCTTTCCCCCTCCCGCACAAGAGAAAAGTTTGACCTAGAATCTGAAAAGTCAAAAAACTCCTCTTGATATTATTACCGGCGTAGAAGGAAAAGAAACAGAATTACCCAGTTCCATCAAAACAGATCGCGGAATTAAGAGGTCACAAGAGCATTAAGAAGCATTCTCCTTTAATAATTCCAGCAAGTCTGCTGGAAAACCCCTAGACATTATAACACATTTCAGAGTTGTGGCTGTTAACACATCCATGAAAAGCATTGCTAATAAGGCAAGGGACAGGAATCTCCGCTGTTTTTTTTGTTTGTTTTGGGGTTTTTTTTGGTCTACCAGCTTCTTGGACTACCACTGAAAAAAATCTGGATCTCTGTGCTTTTAGTGCGATGTAAAAAGCAGATGGTATCTCCTTTTCTTGCAGGAGTGCTTTGACAAAAAAACCCAAAACATTCGAGTAGTATCTGTATATTACAATTACCAGCGAGTTTAGAAATGTTAACTAATAAAGTGCAATATGTATAATGAATTTTCTCTCAGATTCTTAATTATATTTTCAGAATGCACAGTGCAAGTTTCCCGTGCTACTGCAGTTGGGAGATTCTCTTTTCAAGGTAAGCCTTCTACACCTGCTACAGAGGAAGGACTTTGGCCTTCATATTAAACTCTGAAAGCATTGAAACTGTATCCTGCCAGCCTGAACTTCTAACATTTGAATTTACGTCAGTGAACATTGGTGGAGCCGTTTTGGGTAACTTTGGATTTCTGCCTCAGCCTGATCCTGCTTGGCTGCCTGGGTCACTTTACTGAAACACCAGATACTCAAAACCCCATAAACCAACTACACAAGATCAGAATGCTCCACCCATGATTAAAGGTAAAAGTTAAACCCATAGTGAGCCTGAGGAAGCCAACATCCACAATACTTTTACATTTACTTACAATTTTAAAATGAGACTTTTTACAAATAAGAAGCCTGATTTTAACTAGACATGTTCCATTGTCTTTGAAATCAAATAATTTCTATTAATGCTTCAGCTAATATTGAAAAGCTTAAGCAATAATTTTAAAAACATGACAGTTACAGAAACACAAAATATTGTCGTTTTCCCTGTGCTTTCAGATTACTGATCACTCATACTCAGTAGCATTTATTCTTTAATTCCTCCCCCCACATATATATGTATTTAATATATATGAATATATACGAAATCACATACAGCTTCATTCACAAACTAGATAAATGGAGCTATGTGCAATTTTTTAAGGTAACCATATTTATAGGCAGTCAGCCCATGTCATTCATGTCAAATGCAACAGCATGTTAGCAAAACAAATAGTTCTGGATTTCAGGTTATTCATTGCCTTAGATCTCTGGGTCAGGACCTATGTTTTTTTCCCCAGAGTGTGAGACTTTACGATACCAGGTTTCTGATTCATAAATCAAAGCTAGCATGTGCTATCACAATAAAAACATCAACACAAACTCTTGTAGAAACAGTGCTTTTCAGAGAAACTTAGCCTTGTGTTTTAGTATGAACTGTATTTGAGAATCAAGCAATAGAATACCAAAGCCTAGCACCTAGCATACAGATTTTACAGCATTTGTCCAATATTAGTACATCCTTTTGAAGAGGAATATATTGGCTCCATCTAGAGTGGCAAAATCCACTCCTTTTGCTTATGTGCCAGAAGTCAAGCGTATTCATGAAGATCCACTTGTGTATTTAATAATACTTCTTCCACATATACCCCCCATCCGTGCCTACCAGAGCGATGTCCTTGCAGAATACTTTCTATATGTGGAAGGGGGGAGAAAAAAAAAAGCTATAGTAATGATACTTCCGAGACCATTTTAGGAGTGATCTATACCATTAATGAAACAGTTCTGGCCTCTATTTCTCACACCAGGACCTCTTTTGTACTAGTTAATGTACTCATTTTCTAACTGATTGTAAAAGTACATGTGATTCTCTATGCTCTCTACATACTAAGCTTTAGTCTTAACAACCGTTAGAGCAGACTCCTCTCCGTCATTTCTGCTTCATGAAGATGGTGTCTATAATCATTATGTGCTTAGACAAAAAAACTTCCCAAACTCCACAAAGTGGCCAATCCTACTGCTTCTAATGGTAATCCGTTGCCCTGCCTTTTGTGCTATGACCTACTGTTTTTGCCAGATTCTAACAGCCTAACTTGCCTGGGATCTGGAAAATGGACATTGCAGTTGCACAAACCAGCTGTGCATGCACACTGACTCTTTACCACGTGTGCAGGAAGTTTCATGTGCCCATACACCATGTATCTACAATGTGTTTGACTGTCTTCCACCACCCGCTTTGGATCTGTAAGTGTTGTTAGGCTTGGGACATTTTTTTTTTTCCCTCGACAATTCAGACTGTTTTTCTACCGCTATTACAGTTCTAAAATATTTTGCTAATCATAGTACAGAGCAGAAAGAACTTACTTTGTAGTTTGCAAAGCAGAATGTGCTTTCAATTACAATTCACAACTAGTATGTTCTCTAATATAGAAACATCCATTACCAGTAACAAAACGATTCAAACATTCAAATCTTCAAATTTGCTGTTATTTCTGCTTTCTTCTGTTTAAACCACACCTAGTTCAGGATCCGATCGGCTGATTTAATAGAAGTTGCTCCATTTTCTCTAGATAGTCTGCCAATCCTAGTAGGAAATCTAATGGTGCACGTTTAACTTCCAAATACTTTGCAGAATGAGAATAAAGGTAGTATTTAATTCCTTTCACTCAGATTTGCTTAAAACACAACTCAGATTTTGTACCTTAAATAATATTCTTTGCCTTCTGAAATCTTAAACGTTAAATTGCTATTCTTTCATGTTTTTGGCGTTACAGCAAAATGAAGCCACACAAAGTATGTTTTACTACAGTGTTTCACTATTTAGGAAAAAGTGAATCAGTAAGATCAATCTATAAAGAGATCATATAGCAGTAGAAATGCACCAAATTTGTTTTGAAAGACATCATGTGAGCGATCTAAATCTTCGCAAACTATCTTAACTGAGAAACATGATCCTCACTTTTTGCCTGTCATAGTATGAGTTTCCATTTGCAGGTAGGGTCAATCACAAGCTCCATCCTCCATCGATGATTAGTTCATTACCAGTCACGTAGGCAGACTGAAATTACATAAAAAGTAACAATAATTTAACTAACTTTTCATGGCTATTAAGTACAGGGAAACATTTTTTCTTTAAATGCGAAAAACTGCGTTCTTTTTATACAAACACTATTTTTGTTTTACAAAAATATCTGAATAAATAGAATATAAACAAACTTATAAATGGAAGCCTTTCATCTAACTCAGGGGAGTGTAGCAAAAGTATTATTAGAGGCATTAAGATGAGAATGCATCCTGAGTGTACAGATTCACATAAGCTAGACTTCGGATATCTCACCTGCAGGAATAATACCTCACACTATGATGTTATTAGCTCTGTTCAGCTGAGCAGAATCTGACCAGGTCAGCTAATAATTATAAGGGGACCTAACTGAAAATTTAGATGGTGCAGAAAAGTGAGGTAAGCAACTGAGCTGTTGACATTCTTCTCTCTACTATGCCAGTACTGAAGCATATTGGAATATATTGGTAAACTGGAATTCTGCCTACACATGGTTGAAAGCCCTGTGACCAGACTGGAAAAAAAATCATCAGCTTTACAGAAACACTAAAACTAAGATGAAAATGAGAAACAGATTACTGATAGATAGCAACAGATGAGGCACTTAGGGACATGGTTTAGTGGGTCGTGGTGTTGGGTCGACGGTTGGACTTGATGATCTTAGAGGTCTTTTCCAACCTCAATGATTCTATGATTAAGACTGAATTAATTCCATTAAAGTATTCTGTTATGCTCACTAGGACTGCTGGACAAGTCCAAAGGAATCCAGTCCAATTTTAGATTCATAGTAAATTTATGGCATCTGAAATCATCTTGATGTGTGCTCATTAGTGTTGGTGGGATTTGCAGTGGTCATTAAGAGCTTGGTCTATAACAACCTCAGTGAGTCTATTGTTTTCTTTATGCCAAAAGGGTAGATTTACTCTGAGCATTAGCCCTTTTAGCTACAAATCTCCAGCAGTTCTACACAAATATTTGCTCTTGGATAGCGAAGGTAGGTGATGACTACTAATTCTACCTCCTTGAAACATTATCTAGCTGCGGTGCAAACTTGGAAAAGCAGACAAGCCCATTTCTCCTATCATTCAGGGTGAACTGGGGTCAGTCAATTTACTCAGATGACATGAAACCACCAGGCTATGGTACCAAATACATAATGCCTTAACAATCATCGTCAACGTTCAGAGTACTTTTTGTACTGTAGGTTGAACTCAGTAAAAGATTGCCAGCTTTTTATTTTTGTAATAATCTAGCTCAAAGACAATATAAATCCTCCTAAAACAAATTCCCTCTATTGTGATGCAGCAAAGTAGCATGGGATTCTGTGACAGGAAGTTTTATCGTTCTATACTTACTTCATCAGAGGCCAAGTACACAAAGAGATGGGCTACTTCTTCAGCAGTAGCCATCCTACCAGTCTTCTGTCTGGCTAGAAAGTCTTTCAATGCCTAGGTATATAAGAGCATTTGGTATATTAAAAAAATAAAGCAATTATTTAAATCCAGTTAGTCTGACATGTACAAAGCAATACTGGAAACAGGCCGTAAGCCACAACTTCCTTTAGTACACTGGGTAGGGAATTTATGCTAGAAAACGAAATTGGAAGATTAACAGTAGTATGAATTTCAGGTTGCAAAATAGTAGGAGACTGGACCTAAATCTCTGGTTCCAGAATAAAGCCAACATAAGTCCTTCTTCCTTTGGTGGTAGACATTTCCAGGGCCTTCAAATGAGTGCTCACAGTTATCTAGTCAGTATGGTTAAGGATCCTAAATAACTTTAAAATGAGAAGGCCAGAATGCCCTTTCTATCATAGTTTTGCACTAGTTTGTGGCTGCCAGATGCCACAGTAGAAAACATCTTCTACTTTTGCACTAGATATTTGCAACCATTGGTTACAGTACTTCCATAGGTGACAGACCCTCTGTAGTCACTAAGAAATAGTATCCTTCTGAGGCATTTTAAAACTTCTGTCTTGAGTACAAACTGACCAAACTATGAAAGGAGACACATAGGTTATCATTGGTATTCTGAAATAGGGGACATTCTTGAATCTGGGCAGAAATGCCTTTTTTTTTTTTTAAGGGAGTTAAATATATGTATGTACATGGTCAAACTAATAAATTGCTTTCTCACCTGTTCTGGGTTAGGCTGGGCTTGGATTCTTTCCTGTAAAGATGGTGTGTCAACAGTTCCTAAGCAAAATTTTAAATTCAATGTTAAAAAACAACTGCATCAACAGTCATGACAAAGAAATGCAGTTCATTGGTTCTATTTCTATGTCTTGACACTTAAGTGTAACGTCATAATATGATTCAGGAGTGTGCTGATTTTGGCTGGGGTAGTGTTAATTTTTTCCGTAGTAGCTCGTATGGGGCTACGTTTTGGATTTGTGCTGGAAACAGTGTCAATAACACAGGGATGTTTTAGCTACTGCTGAGCAGTGCTTACACAGAGCCAAGGCCTTTTCTGCTTCTCACGTGACATCATGCTCAGCATATAAAGCTGGGGGAAGAAGGAGGAAGGGGGGATGTTCAGAGTGATGGCATTTTGTCTTCCCAAGTCACCGTTATGCATGATGGAGCCCTGCTTTCCTGGAGATGGCTGAGCACCTGCCTGCTGATGGGAAGCAGTGAATGGATTCCTTGTTTTGCTTTGCTTTGCTTGCGTGTGCGGCTTTTGCTTTACCTATTAAACTGTCTTTATCTCAACCTATGAGTTTTCTCACATTTACCCTTCCAATTCTCCCCCCCATCCCACCGGTAAGGAGTGAGTGAGGAGCTGTGTGGTGCCTAGTTGCCAGCTGGGGTTAAACCATGACAAGGACAAAGACTGCAAAACTATCAACATAGCATAGGACTCTCAACTTCAGTAAAAGGCAAGCCTTGAGAATCAGATTCAATACTTTTCAGATGGTTAAACAATGGCTAGCCGGTTAGCTAGCCCTTGTCTGCTTCCAGACTATGTCTTTGAAAATAAACATCCAAACACTGTGTAATGGATATATGATGTGCATATGCTGGGTTAACAGACTAAACATACTATAAAAGTAACAACTTTTCTATTTTAATTCTCAGAAGTGTTTCAAGCACGTCCTGTTCTTTTTGATTGCTGGTAACTTTAGTTGCCACTTGCAAGTCTATTCTTTGTTAACAATGTCAGACTAAATCGGGCCTTCTAGCACCCGCTCCTAGTTTACAAAATAATGTAAGAATACTTACCAGGACATATGCAGTTGCATCTGATGCCTTGTTCAATGAAATCAGCAGCCACAGACTTTGTTAGACCAATAACTGCTGCCTTTGAAGTACTATATACACATCTGTTCACAACTCCTAACAGAAGGTCAGTGTGAAGGCAGCATAGAAACATGTTTAAGAAAAAAAAAAAGAGACCCAAGTTTGTTCAATATGCACCTGCTTCTGGACTCCAGCATTTCCTATAGCACCCGCAGTCTCTCCATAAGGGCGGGCTAACTAGAATGCTAACTGCCAGAATTCTACTCAGGCATACACCACAGCAAAGCGCACGATCTTTCAATAGTATCAGTTTGGGGAGTAGTCTAGAATAGTTAACAAAGCAAACAGAGATTTAGGAACAGCAGACACCCATCTGTTAGTCACCATCAGGTTTCCTTGGGAAGCATAGCTATAGTGCTTACGTAACTGCCATTTCTTCATTGTTTCTCTGAAGGACATACGTGGTAAGATATCACTGGAAGTAATTCCTTTTTAGTTAATACAAACTGGTAAAAAGGGTGCTACAAAACATTCAGGACACAGATTTAAAAGCTCAAAGGCAAGGATCTTAATAATGTTTCTGCAGTTTCCCATCTGTGTCCTTACATGTACGTACGAGTTGATGTGTTCACTTTTTTTTTTAATTGCATCTCTCCACAGGATTGGCAACGTCCTCTAAACTCAAAGTCGTGCAATATTTATTTTGCATTCCTGCCATTTTAAAGATTATATAAGGAACTCTAGCAAGCTACTGACCTTTAACACTGGATGCCACAGAAGACATATTTATAATGTTTCCAGATTTCTGTTTAAGCATCTGCAAAAGAATACTTATGTCATTCAAATGCAAACTATTTTGCCACCTGCAGGTCCAGCAAAATAGCACATAACAACCTGTGGAACAGCCCTACATGCCATTGGTACGCAGGGTAAGAAAGCTTAATTGGCATGAATAGGTGCTTATCTCTTTTTGATCTATTGACTGAAGTAGTAAAGCAGAATCTAAAAGTCTTACTAGGTTCTCCTAGGTCATCTCAGGGGTGACGACTATGACAGGAAAGGATTTTTTTCCTAGATAGCCACCTCTGAATCATTGTCCTCGTCACTACAGTAAGTTACCCTACACAGACATCTGCTCATACCATCTACTAATACACTAATTAACTTCTCCATTGCTTTGGAGAAGACTAAAACATAACTCTCTAGCATCTTTGAATTGTAGCTAAATTTCTTTAAGTTATAACCTTTTAGGCATCTCAAAACCTGAGACGCCTGAAGTTGTTATAAAGAACCTTTGAAAATGAAGATCACCTAAGAAAAAAACCAACCCAAAACCAAAAAACAAACAAAAAAGACTGGAACAACAGTGAAAAGAGCAGTTGTGGTCACAGCTTCCACTTCTGGCCTTTGCATTTACAGGAATACAAACACCTTTTACAGTCCACAAACTTTTGTAGTCCTGAAGCTAGTTACTACATCAAACACAACAAGTGTCCTCAAGTTGCTAGACTGCCTAATTGGATTGTTTTCTGATACAACCAGCATGTTGGCATCAGTGGCGCTGAATTTCTTTACAAGATAATTTCCAGATTTGGATAAAATTCATATTAATATACATATTTTATAAATACTTTGTAGCAGTGGTATTGTGCAGCTGTGTGCTATAGTATAATACAGTAGCACTGTATTGCGATGGCTCCCTCACTGCTCTGCATTTGAAGGATTTTAGTTACAAACTACATAGGGCAAAACCCCTGAATTAATCTTCTCTACCATATCCTTCAGACAGATTGTCTACTTGAAGGATTACACGTTGCAGAGACTGTTTTAGGGTCGGATCACCGTAATCTAAGGGCCTCCCCTATACAAAGCCCCATACTTGCCTTTTTATCTCAAACCCCATGCTGTCACAGTGGCAACAACTTCAGACCTCTCACATTTTAAACACAATGCAGCAGAGACTAAAAATCACGGGCAACCAAGCCTTACCTTAGGAAGGAATGTCTTGATCATTAGATACACGCTGCGAACATTGAGGTTCATAGTGAAGTTCCAGTCTTGCTCCTCGCACTCCAGAATGGTTCCATGATGAACAAACCTAGAATAAGTGCATGAAGTGGATTACTGCCTGTGGTTTATATTTCTACGACTTTTTATGCATATTTTTCCATTGCTATTTTGTAATAGCTAGTCCTTCCAACCTTGAAAAGGAGGGACAAGAGCTCTTTTGAAGAAAGCAAGCAACAGTACTTGTCTTCTGATGAGTATCAGGGACACAAGATAGATCTGATATGTGCAAAGAAATGTTTGGTAACAGGGAAATTAAAAAAGATAGTGCACCGGCAGACCATCAATTTTGCTTACTGTTGTGCCAGGAGGGCCAAAGCCATCAGTATAGGGCACCCATAGAGCAGGGACAACATAATAAATTCCAGAATGATTCTATCTTGGCCTGGGTAACAGAGCTACCCACAGAAAGTTCACTGTTGATGAAAACACATGAAAATTTATATTAAAGATATAAAATGTATTAAATTCATTTTATTTCTTCTGTTTTAAGTAAAAGAAACTATTTCTGGAGGATGGGGAAAACCGGAAAAAGAAGTAGGATCAAATAGAAGCTGGTTACCCTACAATGTTACAGAGGACATCAATCCTTTCAATCTCCTTGGCCAGATTTTCTATCTGCTCCTTTTTGGTGACATCCAGAACCCGTATTTGAATGCCTAGAAAAACATGGTATTCACTTCAGCGTATTTGGCTAAGGATCAGCAGTTTATTTTTCTGAAGTGCCGAGGACTGCATTTACGATTCAAGTCAGTGGCTTGCCAGGACCAGTCCCCTCTCAGCGGTCCACCACCACATGGAGACTCACTGAGCGAGAGCTACACTTAATGATTAAATTAGTGCAATAGTTAAATCAGGACAGCGAGGACAGCATGGCATGCTATTTAAGATATCAGAAGGGAATTAAAAAAAGATCAACTCATTTGATTGTCATACAGCATCACACAAGCAGATGAGCTAATGTCATTTACCATAAAAACATTTCCAATAAATTTGAATTCCACTGCACTCTCAAACTGAAAAATTACAGAGCCTGTATAGTCATAACAAGCTTTCATGCCCACTGTTATAGAGTAATAATTACCTGAAACTAGTTGCATGTGTCACATATACTCATCTATCCATGTGTAGTTGAGGATATGATGAATCAGCTTTATACCATTTAATTAATGAGAAAAAGTGATTTTGCATAAGCCAGTAACTTACATAACCTGGAATGATATCATAGCCATGATAATAGAAATGAAGAGGAAGCGTAATAAATTGATGGCTTCTATCATGGAGGCTAGTTTAAAAATATGATGCTTATGTTTTTGCGATTATTTGTTTATAATCATTTATAATCAAACAAAAGAGGGCTGGAAACGTGTTGCTTTTCACTATAAGCTTCTATGTATTTCAGCCTCTGACAGCTGTCACTGTCAGCGCTTATAGCATGGGCTGTGCCTGTGCCATACCTTCAAGAAAGACACTGATAAAAAAAAAAAACCCCAACCAAAACAACCCCTCCAAAAAACCACCTTCTATTTTGTTCAGAGAAGTTACCTCTGAAAGATTGAGAAACATAACTACTGCAAAACAGGGTCAGGCTCAACTCTTCCAAACACTTTTCAATAAAATCAGCCCCTGTAACAGAACTGCTTAAGGGCCAACCACAGCCGTGCCATCCCCTGGCCAGAAGTGAAAAGAGCAAAGTAAAAGAACTACTCTTCCAGATGAGCTGTAATATATGATATGATGATATAATCTACATCTTATTTTATCTCATTTTACTTAAGTAGCTTCCAGTAATCTAACACAACTAGCTTCTCTCACCCATGTCAAGGCTGAATCCTTACTATGGAATAGGCATACTTCACGATACGCTTTGCCTGCACCCTCACTCCATACTGTGTGTAAAGACTGAGCTGTGCCCCCTTCTCAAATACATGAATTTTTCATCCAAAGGAAACCTGGATGAGTGGAAAAGAAGGAGTCAGGGTGTACTCCAGTAGTTCCCTTAGTGGTACAATTAGGCTCCCAGGGCACTAAGACTTGCTGCTGATGACCCTTTTGCCACAGCCTGGTCATGACATATCCTGTATCTAGGATGAAGGCACATCTAGTGCAGAACACGCCTGTGCCCCAAAACAGGTTTTTTACAATTTAGTCATGTGCTACTAGTGACACACCGTCTAATAAATGCCTACAGCTACCTATTGAGAGACTGTAGAGAAGACGGAGCCAGACTTCTCAGAGGCCCACAGTGGAAAGACGAAAGGCAACAGAAAGAAGTTGGAACATGGGAAAGCCTGACTGAATATAAGGTGTGTTTGTTTTTTATGGTTTTTGGTGGGCTTTTTTTTGATGTTTTGGGGGTTTTTTTGGTTGTTTGTTTTTTAAATACCATTATTATTTTAAAACCATGAGGGCAGTCACACTGGAACAGGGACCTACAGAGGTTGTTGAGGAAATTCCATCCTTGGAGATGTTCAGAACTTGATTCAACACAGCCCTGAGCAACCTGCTCTAGCCAGAGCCACTTTGAGCAGTAGGCAGGACCAAATGGCCTCCAGAGGTCTCATCCAATGTACACAATTCAATGAAATACTGTAAAGCTGTCTGTAACACATCTGAGTGATGTCTAAATTATGGGAGAATTTGATTTGAAATGGATAAAAACCTGTTTCTTTTGAAGCCAAACTGACAAGTCCATGAACAGGCTTTATATGCCTTAGTTAAATGTTATAGACACTTCTGAAGAGATTTGTGTATAACGATGCAATTAGACTACAGACTTGTGATTAACATCAGCACTGGAATTACCTCTCCTGGGTAAAATTCAAAGATCAAAATGTGCCAAGTCTTGATGAATTATAGCTTAACTAATATGTCAAAAGGATGGAAACGGCTCTGAGTGTATGGAAAATTACCTCTTTCCTTGTGAACACACTAGCAGAGGGAAAAAAATGCACAGTTCAAAATGTAACACTTTCCTACACACCCTCAGAATGAACCTGGAAAGTCCTAAAGTTCCTAAAGAATTACAAAGGGATTGCTTGTGGTGAACTCCAGTCAGTAGAGACCGATGTTCACTCTAAAAGTTGTGCCAGAGAAAAGCGTTTTTGCATATTTGACTGTCACTCTGTAATAGGAATTCAGTAAATCCACTTCCTTCTGTCAAATTAAGTTGGAAGCATTTTCAGTTGTGAAATATATCCAAGTCATTTTTTCAATCTTGAAATAAAAATTTTTTTTTTAATAGCGTCCCACACTTGTGTCACTTATGATTAAGAAAACAGCTATGCAAAACCTGCTTCTTGAAGTATGTTCCTGTGATATCAGTAGGAAAGCAACCTTCAGGCTTGAGCATTTGTACAAACAGAATAGGCTTATCTAGTGTTGGTGGATTAGTTTCTGAAGACATACGAATTCTAATAGACAGCTATCCTGTCACTGCATTCCTTAGTAAGTGTGGACCACGGAAATGCAAGACACTAAATCTACTTTTTGTATAGCTAGATGTTAGTTCTTGAGATCAGAGAAAAGCATTCCATGCCTTTTAGAGTGATATGTTTGACAATTAGCCTGGTGATCTCAAAAGGTAATTGAAATGGGCGCCATTCTGGGAAGCAGAAATCAACTGCTTCTGTGACACAAGAAACTCAAAAGTTATTCCACATGCCTGGAATAATACTCTGTCTGATATGCTCATGTTGCAGTATGGTTACATGCTAATCTCTGCCATTCCACACCACAGAATAAAGCAATGCCAACGTCTAAAGAATTAGTCTGGATATTTGCCATTTTTTCTGGCCTTTCGAATTTTGCCCTATCCTCAAATTATATTTCAGCCAGTCTACAACAAAACTTGTGAGAGCTAAACTAATGCCTACTGTAGGTCATTTACCTGGATATTTCTCCAGTTCTTGCAGCTTAGACTCATTGATGTCTGTAGCAACGACTTTGGCTCCTTCTTTAGCAAAAGCCTGAAGAATACAAGTGAGAGAAGCAGTTTATATTTAGATATTCCAGATCTTACCAGAAATAAAATCTGTTTTCTTCTCATTTCCTTTTTGGCTTGAAATAAAAGTTGGCTGAAGGCAGCTGATCTCTCACTTTTCATTCTGGGCATGTCAGAAAGTAACGGACATCAATTGCCACACATCCTGGGGACAACTAAGTAACTATGCATGTTCAGTTCTATCTAAAAATAGATTTAAGATGTTTTCCTTAAATTAAGAAATCCATAAATAAAGTGTGAGAACAGTAACCACACTAAGAAAACTGGTATTATTATTGCCCTTATTAGCTGCATGTGCACTAGCAAGCACGTTACAAACATGTAGGGCTAGAATTGTCCGTATTGTTGGATTTAAATGAAGTTAGGGGATTTGACAAGTAAAGGCATGAGCCATAAAAAAGGAATGGTGGTATATAAACTTTATGAAAATCCTTTGCATCCAAATCATTGGAATACAGCAATATTAAAAGCAGCACGACTTTTCTTTGATATGTAAGCAGAAATATTCCTTCATTCTTCATGCTCCCCTCAAAACCTGCTTTCTCTGCATTGTGATTACTGATAAATCAACAGCTACGCTAACAAAGTAACCTCCGTGTCAAAAGTGTTCTGACATCGCAGACTGTAGCCCCTAATCTTCAAAATAAGTGTCTCAAGTGCTGCTTAAGAGGATAGTGGCATTAAACATGCCAGCCTTCCATGGCTTGTTGGGTATTTACAGAGTGAAATCATCAGGAAAATTACCTACTTCTTTGACAGAGTATTTTAATCTAAGTGCCAAGATCAGCAGTTTTCTGCATTCTTAACTGCATACATGAGAAACTAACTAGTCTGGCAAAAATCCTACTTAGAGAAGCTTTTCCTGGCTTGTTGATTACATTACAGAGGTACTGAGATAACTCTACTAGGTTCTCTATCTGCTATGGAAGAAGGAAGTAGCAGGGGAAGAACAGGTTGGAAGGAATTAAAAGTTAACAGATATGTTGAATTCTGTTTAACAGTAATTTAATAAAATTTGTAAAGGATTTCTCACAGTTGCTCATTGTGAACAACATTGCAGCCATGCTGTTAGCATCACGTAGACTTGGTTACATCAACTATTAGTGTAGATAAGACATCTTGGCTTTACTGTAGGGGATCTTTGCAGTATCCAGCCTTATAACAGGAAATATTCCCTCTATCCTCCTTATCTTCTCCCGGAACAAAGCAGCAGATATACTGGATTAAAGGTACAGGCAGTACAACCATATATTGTTAGAAAAGCAGTTGCAGCTGTTCTGAAATCTTCCCTTATGGCTAACATCACCCCTCAGAGCTGAAGACTTTCAGAAATTCAAATAGTGTTCTGAAATCTTCCCTTATGGCTAACATCACCCCTCAGAGCTGAAGACTTTCAGAAATTCAAATAGCACAAAGCATGCATGATACAGTATAGCGACTATATTATTCCCTGAATTTTTCAATGGGTAGTTCTGACTTCATCAAGGGTTTATTAATTCAAGAACTTGTTTGGTGCAGCTGTCATTGGACAAGCTAGCATTAGAGACCTAGCTTAGGTACAGGAGAACATTTTCCAACTTACTATAGCAGCTGCTCGTCCAATCCCCTGTGCTGCTGCAGACAGCAGTATCGTCTTCCCATCAAGCCGACCCATACTGCTGACCTGTGCAGACAGAAGATGTCACGGAATCTTTAACAAAAAGATGAGCCAACAACACTTACTGGGAATCAGATGCAAATGCATTCCAAAAGCTAGACGTGATTCAGAGTACCTCTGCCATCAAATCATATCACAGATTGTCTTGTTTGGCTGCAGTGTGACCCTGAGTCATGCAGGGTGCTGAGGGGGGGACTGCCTCAACCTCTCCCCCCCATATGTAAGGACCTCAAAAAGATCAAAAGGCATTTGAGCTCAAAAGCCAAGCTTTCTGTTATAATATAACAGAAACCGGACTTTATTTTTCCTTAAACAGAAAAGAGAGTCAAGATGAAACAGAATAGAAGTACAATAGTTTGTAATCTAGCATTTCCACTGTCCATTGTGTTCTTAGAAAGCAGGTCTATCTTCTATTCCCCTCAAACTACAAACTCATCAACTTCCTAGATTGCAATAAATTCCACACAATACCCTGGCCTAGGTGTCTGCTCTGAATTATCTTAGGAATCTTCCAGCACAGCAGATTCCCAGCTCCAACAAGGCAGGAGGGTGAGGGGGGAATGAAGGTCCTGTCTCGCCTCTCTCACATTGCTTGCTCTCAGGGAACTACTGAGCATGCTTGGGGCAAGCGGGAGGAAACCTCTAGGAGGTTCCACCTTATTCAATGTGTAGCAGCCAAAAGGCAAAATGTAGCCCTCTTCTCTTCTGCCCAAGCACACACTTTCAAATGCTGCGTTATGTTTAAAGAAATATAGCATGTAAAGTTGCAAACAAGTAAAAGCAAATGCCATCCTCTCACTCCTATGGATTCAAAAGTTTCCAGTAGGATTTTTGGTTATTTAAGGAGTAAACTACTTAATAGGATGTTTCAAAGAACTACCTAAAAAGTAAGGCCACTGTGTTCCAGTCAGAGTGCGATATCTGGTGTTTGTTAACTGGGTTCCCAATAAGCAAAACTTTCTGCACTTTTATAATCCACAGAGCAAAATTTGTTTATGTAGCTATGAGTGTAGAAAGGTGTCCCAAGAACTTGAAGTCTTTGAATATATACAGGAATCCAACATACCGAGTACTTCACTGAGAAGTTAAGATAAAGATGCCATGATCTCCTCTAGGTTAGCAGCCAATGCTATCATCTAGAGATGCTCCAATCCATGCTGTGACTCAGATTACCGAGTTGAATTTAGTGTCCTACATCTTACACCAGATTATTCATTTCTCTGATTTTGACCAGAAATTCTATCTGTTTTCTCAGCAGCTTTTCCTGACAAAAGTTGCAGCAAAACTAATGTTTCCCTGAAGGTTACAGATTCAACAAATCAGACTTCTTCTGAAGCTGTTTAACTGAAAAACTCTTTCCGTTCCAATATGAAAAACATGATCTCTTTTGATTTAAAGTTGGACTGAGTTACAGACCATGTTTCAAGACATTGAAATGTTTCGCTGCAGGTTCCCCCCATAACTGGGACACACACGCACATACGCACACAGAAACAAAGCACAAAACTAAAGAACAGCCTCCTAAGCAAACACTAACTGAGATGCACCTTTCTAATTGGGGGAAAGCACAATACCTTAAAATCACTTTTTAGGTTGGCTAGTAAAAAGACGTCTCTTCAGGTACCTCTGATAGTAGGCTGTATAAGGTTATATGAGATCGGGCCCGCCTTAGCATAACCTTTTTGTATTGACAGGTGAAAAATATAAAGTTAACAGAGCAGAATGAGATTACACACACAACTAGGTTGCACTGTCTCTCTAGTGTACCAAGCATTCCAAAATGCAACTCCTCAAACACAAAACTCTAGGAAAGGTTCTATTAATTGTAGCAAGTCCCGAGCACCTCAACAATGAGCTCAAAGTGCTCACTCAAGGCAGAGGAAGCTCTTTCTTATTCTTTGTTGTCACATACATCTTTTCAGTGGGAAACAAAAACCTGATCAGTCCAAGTACTTCCCCAAGTCACCTTAACACTTTGGAAGCAAAATGCACTATAAATACATTTTTCAATCTAACAATCAGTTTTTATGAACATTTGCCACACCGATTGTATAAAGCATTTAAAAATAAGTATTAATATAGTCACTCACCAAGAGATCTCAAACAGCTTGTTATGTTTACTGACCTTTGTACAAAAGGAAGTTTTATACTTTTTTTTGCTGTGCTTTTTGGGATTTGTAGTCTAATTGGTAAGTTTCTCTAGATGAACGTAATTTCCTGTTGAAACATTGAGATGCTGCCATCTAGTGAAACTCAAGATTTTAGAAGTGTGATTTTCTGCACAGGAAAGGACAAAAAAGGATCACCAGCATTAGCTGTCCATTCACCCTAAGGAAATCAACAGGATTCCCACCAAAAAAGGCCACAAACATGTTTTTCCCAAGCAATTTCTCTTTAGCAATATAAGCTATCAAATTCCAGACTAGGACAATACATGCATAATAAATTTTGTTCTCTGTTAAACTGGTGATTTACCAACTTTTCTTTTTGTATCTAGTGGTTTAACTTACATTTGTTAAGGCAGAGTTAATAAAGCTACCCTGAGAGCATTCTTAAAGAATTTGGAATCCTGCCTGAATTTCAGTTGGCACTGTCCTGGTTTCAGCTGGGATAGAGTTAATTTTCTTCCTAGCAAACCCAGCTGGTACAGTGCTGGGTTTTGGATTTAGGGTGAGAACAATGTTGATAACACACCGATGTTTTAGTTGTTGCTAGGTAGTGCTTACACTAGCCAAGGACTTTTCAGCTTCCCATGCTCTACTGACTGAGAAGGCTGGAGGTGCACAAGAAGCTGGGAGGGGGCACAGCCAGGACAGCTGACCCAAAGCCGCTGCTCGGGGACTGGCTGGGCATCGGTCAGTGGGTGGTGAGCAATGGCATTGTGCATCACTTGCTTTGTATATTCTTTTATTATTACTATTTTACTTTATTTTATTTCAATTATTAAACTGTTCTTATCTCAATCCATGAGTTTTCTCACTTTTACTCTCCCAATTCTCTCCCCCATCCCACTGGGGGAGAGTGAGCAAGCAGCTGTGTGGTGCTCAGTTGCCAGCTGAGGTTAAACCACAACAGGCACATTTTCTTCAGAAAAGCCATTTCTGTGGGTAAACCGGGACACACAGACACAAAGTTCAGTAATATTAAGTTTTTCGTGTCTTTCTGCTAAACTATGATAGCTTTCTAAGGCTTTGTGAATCAGCTCCCCAGTAAACAAAATCTTTAATGACTAGGTTTTCTAAAAGCATTTATCCTTCTGTCCCTGACCTTTTGCCTACTGAATTCAGAGGCAAAATAGGTTCCTGTTTTTCAGCTCAGTCACCAGAAAAATCTCCAAATCTAGAAGTGTTCCAAGCAAGCAATAATTAACAAAACACCCCCTTGAAATTTTATACAAAAGAGGTAGAGATCTATATATACACCTAGGTCCCCCCCTTCTGGAAGGAAAAGTCAGTTTAATTTATTAGAACACCAAAATGGAGGGACTGAAAAAAAAGCTGGTAGCTAAAGAAAGTATCTTTCAACCATAGCGGGAAATTGAAAAAAACCAAACCAAAACAAAGAAAACCCCCAACCAACCAACCCACCCCAAAACAAAACACCCACCATGCAAATACCAGCACTTTGCACTTATCACTGTCAGGAAATAAATTGCTCCTACATACCTACTGCTGTGGTAGGAAAGGAGAGACTGCAGTGCTGAACTCAGAAATGGTATTTAGAACCTGTGTATTTTTGGCTAGCAATATCTTTAAAAGCTTCCCAAAATACATTCCAGGTCAGATTGAGATAAATGCTTGCAATTTCTTAGTAGTTACAGTAGTTGGCAGAGTTTTCAGCTATTCAAGGTAAATAAATAGCTGGTTCTTTAATAAAGAACTCTGAAGTACCTCCATCAGGTAAATAATCCTTGTGCGACTTTTCCAATTCCAGTAACTGCCGAATGCCCAGGAACATGTCAATGTAACCATTTGCTTATCAGTATGGGTAACCCAAAATGGAGTATCAAGAACTCTATTCCTATAAAATAAGGATAATGCTTTTGATGCAGATATCTTTCTTAGGTATGACTTTCTCACCTCATGATGATTTCATTCTTAAAGGAGTTGATCTTGGGTTGAGTGCCAAATTCCTACTTAGTTGGCAGTGGAGGGTGTATGGGGAGGAAAGGGAGGAGGATCTATCTTTTAGACTTCAAACATTTCCTGACAGTGAAAGATTCAGTTAGAAAGAAGAATTAAATGAAACACTGGTGATCTAGACCTGTGCAACAGTAAACTTCCGCACAAAGTAATTATTGCGGAAAGCTAGAGAGGACACAGACAAGAAGCATAATGATGATGGAAGTGGCGAGATTACTATAAAAGATAGTCTTTAGATACTGAATATTGTAATCAACATCCTTAGATCATAGCACAAGTGAAGTGACCAGCAGAAGTATTTTTAAATACTTAACACATTAAAGTTTATTGTCAAAACAAACCTTCTTATACAAAAAATACAAAAAAGTAGGTCTCGCAATGCAGATAAGCAGGCTAGTAAAATAGTCCGTCTTGCAGCCCTGATCGTCCAGTTTGTTTTCCATTCACTAGAGTAGCAGAAGAGTGTCAGGTCCACTGCTTACTATAAAAAAAATTCCAATACCCAACTTCAGACAGGAACTACAAGTATATTGGAAAGATGATCCAAAATACAAAGTTACTCTTGGTACCATAATTGGCTGAGCTGCAGAAATATCGTAAGGAGTTTAAGAGGAACCCTTGATTGTGTGCCCTATAAACAGAAAGTTAGTAACTTCAGTTGCAACGTCCAGATAGAGAAGTTAAAATTGTGCTGAAAATGCAGTTTCTGTGGACTTAGAGAGAGCGCATGGTATAAAACCATATGCTGAGAAACAAAAAGTATAGTTCTTTCCAACTCAATAGCACTCTGAAGGTACAAATATCGACCACCCAGAAGAGGGCTGTTTTAGGAATGACAGAATTAAGTTTAAGATTGAGAAGTTTCACAGTAGATTAGTTTGTGATCCATTCCTGTTTCCCTTTTTTCTTCAATACATCGGCTTTTCTTTATTTGCCATCCGAAAAAAAAAACCCCAAAGCAGAACATCATCAGATCAGCAGGTTGTGGGCAACTTGACTGCTTTTCCATCTTTGTTCTTGTATTCCAGCTTTTCCAGTTGTGAAAAATAGCAACTCCAAGACAGCAAGGGATTTGCACGCCACCAGAGCTCTTCTCAATTCGTGGAATTTGGCTGATTGCTTTTGATAAGCAATTGTCTTTCATATATGCAGATTCTGGCTGTAGCTACTGCAAAGGCAGCTTACAACAGAGCACCTTTATTGGGTGGTACAATCAGGGGCTTTATCTTTATCTGAAGTTCCAAACCAGTGCTTAAGATGTTCTTCTGTGGGCTCTATTCCCGCAGGTCGTGTATCTATACAGAAGACAAGAACATTGAAGTAACACTTAAACTTTCCCAGTTAGACGGGCAGTAGGAATACAGCAATTTAATCTTGACTAGTGTTTTAAATGTCAACTATCAAAGCTTGCCTCTGAGGAGCTTTGTGTTGTGAGAAGTCTGTACTATTACCAAGTTGGCCATCACAAGAAACAGCAACGAGTCAGATTCTTTCTGGAAGTCTGCCATTAATACCTTAAAAACTGGTTAACTCTTCAACATGTCTGCTGAGGCCTTCTGAAAGTTTTTAGAAGCAAGTGTAATGATGAGGGCAATAGCATTAACATGCTAGCATAGATCACTAGGAGACTTCCCCAGAAGTCACCAGGCCAGATAAGAAATCCTGAGTAGGGCTGAGGAACAGAAGTTACCAAAACAGCTACTACTGCAGCTGGAGCCAGGCAGACTGGCAGATTCAACATCAAAGACTAAAGTCTACCATCTTGAAGTTTAGAAAAAAGTTAACCAGCAGTTAACTTCGAATAGTTTTGCCAGAAGTCTGTGCTTAACCAATGTAAAGTTAAAAAGCAAAACATTTTAGAGCATCAGCTATCTAGTAATGATATTCTGCTAATTCACTTTTTAAATTCAGTCATCAACACTTCCACTGCACCAAAAGAAAAAAAAGTTTGTATAATCTTCAGGGGGTAAAGGATCCATTTAAGTATTTAGGTTCTGTAAAGCATATATAAGCTTCACAGCTCTAGCTGGTCAGCCCTTCAACAGACAGCTGACTAACCCCATTCAGGAAAACTGTGTTATCATGCAAGTTTCAGGTCTGAATATAGAAAGTACAGAGCATTTACACTCAGCTCACAGACCACCCCTTGTATTTTGCCTCTCCAAATCTTTATAGGACAACACCACCGTGTTACGTACCTGTTAGTGTACCCAAGCTGGAATTATCAAAGAAATTTGTTGGACAAGTCAGTGGCAGAGGCTTTGCTACATCCTGAGTCACAATTTCTTGAGAAATAGGTTCCTTGGAGGGTGAAGGCATTTGCTCTTTAAGGGAATATGACACTGTCTTCCTTGGAGTACCAAGGGGTACTGTCTCTCGAGTGGTTTCTCTTGAGGATCGTTCTTTCCATTTTAGTGCTCTTTCTTTCCATTTTCTAAGTTCCTCTTTCAGTTGAAGCTCATTACTGAAATGAAAAAAAACCCCAAACGGCATTTAAAAAAAATTTAAAGTAGTTCCTTTAAGTAAGGAAAAATTCCTGACAACAGACAGTTCCTGTATTTTCAGATGACATACCACAGACATGGCAATGCAAGACCATATCTGGGTATCTTGCTTTCAGAGACAATTTTTTTTTTATTTAAGCTAAAATTCCTTCCAACATAAAATTTAGGTATATCTTCTAGCATTTAAGAGATTCTTATGAAAGAAAGCAATTTAAAGTTCAAAAGCCATAAAGATATGTAAGCAATAAATCATTAGCTTTAAATAAAAGTTTACGATGTGAAAGAATCTAGAAAATCTAAAATTAATAATAATTACTCACTTCTACAGGTCTCACAGAAAGAAACACTAATGACATGCATAGTTAAATAGCAACAAATGATTTTACATGTTGCTGATCAGCTTTATAACTTACCTTAGTAGAAGGTCATTTTGTTTCTTCATGTGCAAATTCTCTTTCTGTAGCTTAGCTTGTTCAGATTTTAGAACAAGTATTTG